GTTAGCCATACCTGGGGCTGAGACGGACCACGTAGCCAGTGATCTGGGAGCCAAATGAGGCTGAGAGACTCTGAGGCGGCACTGGGCCAAGATGTGGGGCATCATTATGATTGGTCAGCCTGGGTCCTGTGTCTGCCCCTGTGGCTGATGGGGCTTAGGAGAGGTACTATGATAGGAAACATGCCCTCCTCCCTCACCCCTCATGTCACTTCAGAGCCTTAGAAAACCAGGTGTCATGACAGGGTTAAATGCAAGGATTTTATTAGGGAAAACACCTGTGAGAGAAAATGTGGAGGGAGCTGGGAAGACTGAGAGAGCCATAAGTCAGGTCTAACCCTGAGTGAAGAAGAGAGGGAACGAAGGAGCTTTCGGTGGAGGTGTCTTAGACTGCAGTGCAGTTCTAAGGAAACTTCAGAAAGGCCACTAAGGGGCCTTGAGTCAAAAAATCCATCAGAAAAGTACTGCTTATCTCAGGAGCAGGCCTTTCCTAAAATCCCTGCTATGCTCAGGGGTGGATTATCCAATAGCGAGGTAAGCACAGTGCTTACCAGATTATCTGTAGTGAACAATTTCACATTTTTTCACCACATCAAAGATTCAGCTTCTAGGTATGGCTGGCATCTGTCTCTCTCCCAACCGTGAAGCACCTTCCTACAGAATCAAAGCCTCTTGTCAAATTTGCAATCCCTGACAGGGATGGATCACCCAGTAAGCACAAGTAAGTGTGGGCTTACTTGTGCTTACTTACTAATCTGTAGCGCACAATTTCACATGTGGTGAAAAACATGGGAGCACCCTGTGGGAAGCAAGGCCTGGGAGTGAGGGTGATGGATTTCAGATTTCAGCAGCTGGGCTGTCTGTCAATTATGCTTGCCCCAGACAGGGATCTGAGAGCTACATTCTCATGGCCACTACACCCTGCCAGCTTAGCACTACACAGAGATGAAGGATCATTCTACTATCTTAAAAAAAAAAAAAAAAAAAGAGCACCACTACCAGTTGAAAGGGCAGGGGTGTTGAGCAGGCCAGACTATAGATGTCCACCCCATGGCTTATGATGGCCCAGTTTTAATTTAAACTCCACATGTCCAAACCTTAGCCCTTGACTTCTTTGCACTCTGACTCTTCATCTGGAGACTACCATTTTCCCGTGGTAGTAAAACCTGAGCGTCATATTAAATTCCCTCATTTCTCGTCTCCAACTCCTGCAGCGGCCAATCAATGATCAAGTCCCTTCAATCATACATTGGCAATATCACCTTTGCATCTTCTTCCCTCCATTCTCATTGCTACTGGTGTATTCAGGTCCTCATTACATCTTGCCTGAACTAGTATGGAAATCTCCATGTTGTCATTCTGCAACTCTATTCCATCCTATTCTTTCTGCCTGACTGTCTTTAAACGCAGTTTTGACCATGTCACTTCCCTTTGTAAAACCTTCCATCACTAACTCTCCACAGCAGAAAATAAAACCCAAAGTCCTTGATCTGATCATAACATATCTTACCAGATGATTCGTCTCCTTTTCCTCTCACCCTATATTTCCTCAACTGATCCCTTGCTTCCCTTTATTTGTTCTAGGGGCTGCCCGACACATAGCATGTTTTTCCCCTAGTTCTACCTATTTTTCAAGGCCCACTTCAAATGTTACATCCTCTGTAAATCTTTCCTGAGCTCCCTGGACTATTAACTGGGAGTAATCTTTTTTTTTTTTGGTTTTGTTTTTAAACTCCCACAGTACATGAATTTTATCTCTGTTTAGTACTTATTGCTTTTATTTCAGATCAAAGAAGGCACACGGTGAGATAGAGGGGTGTGGCTTAAGGAAGTTCACTTGGCTGTCCAGACAGATCCCTCTTCAATGCTATAACGTTGAGGAATTCACCATCATCCAGAAACTGGTCTTCAACCTTACAAACTCAGAAGCCTGGTTTTAACAGTAAGCAGAGAGCAGAACCATCTCCTGGGGGTGCTCTTGTATTCACTAAGCTCATAGAAACTGAGGTTTAAATAAACCAGAATCCAACTGATTAATTTACAAGGAAAAATACAATTATCAAAAGAGCGGGACTCCTCTAGGTGGTAGATCACTGAATTCTGTCCTTATACGTAAGACATTTTCAGGGTGAGCATAAAATCATGTCAGGGAAGCACAGTGATCTTAAGAAGCATTTCTTACCATAGGCAACCTGAGATATTCTCACTTACCACAGGAATGACATGGATGAGGAAATCCTCATGGTCAGGACTACTTGACTGAGTTAGAGCTTACAGGCTCAATGCTTGGTGCTTGCCTCTGTGACTGCCTTGTTTGGGGCTGCTGTGGGTGATTGTGCTGTTTGGTTTGTGGAGTCACTCTCCAAATAGGATACAGAATGACTGATTATCAAGATTGATCTGGCTTTTGTTTATTAAATTACAATCACATCTCACTCCTGCCTTCTTGAGACTGCCCAGGTGAACTGGATCAGAGTTTGGGTTTTTTTTGATGTTTGTAGACAAGCTCTTGGCTTACCCCCTCAAAAAGCTAAGGCTCTTATTATCCAGCTTGGAGCCCTGGTGGTACAGTGGTTAAAAGCTTGGCTGCTAACCAAAAGGTCAGCAGTTTGAATCCACTAGCTGCTCGTTGGAAATCCTATGGGACAGTTCTACCCTGTCCTGTAGGGTCACTATGAGTCGGAATCGACTCGACAGTAGTGGGTTTCATGTCAGCTTAGGCTAAGTTATGCCACAGGAACAAACAACCAAAACAATCTCAGGGGTTTACAACAACAAAGGTTTATTTCTTACTCACGTGACATTACATGTCAGCTGCATGTCAGCTGTGGGTGGCTTGCACCACATCTTCTTTCTGGGACCAAAGCTGGAGAAGCAGCTCTATTTGGGACATGCTCCTACAGCAGAGGAAAAAAAGGCAGAATCTAAAGATGGCTCATGAAATGGCTAATGCCGCTTCTACTCACATTGCATTGACCAAAACAAGTCATCTGGACAACCTTTGATGACATTAGGGTACAATCCTCTTCTAGGATAGGCCACACAGGGAAGGTCTTAAAGAAGGAGGAGCAGAGAATATTGATAATAATACAGTTTACAGCAAGGACTAATATTCAGTCTGTATGTAGCAGTATGATGTTACCAGTTATAATACTGTTAAAATATTCAAATACTTGAGAACTAACTAGTAAATAGCTGCTGTCTCAAGCCTCCTAACAACTTCCCTTTCCTGGGATCCCCTGGACCTACTATTCATAAACCAGCAGAGACATATACCTCCAGGATCCTACTTGGCTTCTAATCTGCTAATTCCTGAGTACTACCTGTTCTTAAATGTGTTCAATATCACCTTTGGCTAGTTTCTTCTACTATGTAGATTTTTATTAGTTTAATTCTGGTTTTCTGATTTCCAAATTCTTGGAGAAAAACCACTGCAGCCCCTATGTACTGACAATTCTTAATTTTAACAATAATAATAAATATTAATTTATATTGCTTCCTACACATTTTTATATTTCTTTCTCTAACATAGTGAATCATATGTAATAATTGCTCAGTTAAGACTTACCTGGCTTTTTCCCTGAGCTAAGTTTTTCTCTACTATCTCAACATACTTTTTTTTCTTTTTGACATTTGTTGTGTCTAAAAATGTCATCATTAACTTCTTTTTATAACACTACTGCAATTTACAAAGCTCTCTGACACTATCCCATTTAATCTCTCCAACACTCCAAAGAGGTAGGAATTAGATCATTTTACAAATAAAATTGCAACTCAGTGAAGTCAGGTGACTTAGAGCTAGTAAGATTTCATTCATTCATCAAATATTTATTCAGTGCCTGAAGTGAGATTTATTGAAGCTGGACTTGAAAACAATTTTTCTGAATTTAAGTCAAGGTTTATTCCACCATTTTCAGCTACTTTACCACGAGGGTCATGAACCCAAAGGCAGGCAGTAAGTGTGTTGATTTTATTGTTGAGGATCCCTCAACACAAGAAGTCTCAGAAAGGCTTCAAGATCATTTGTGAAATTCAAGGTTACCATCAGCAGCGACAGTCCGATTCCTGTCTGTGCTTGCCTACCTAACTGGCTAGTACATAATTCCATTCAATACATATTTGATTAATAATCTACAGGTTTTGGAACTCTTCAAATTTTTTGATACTACCTCTGGGGACTTGCTTAAGTTACTTAACCCTTTTGAGATTCAGTTTTATCATCTATAAAATGGGAATAATACTAATGCCTTCTAAGTAGTCATGGAGATGAAAAGGGTAAGTATGAAAAAGAACTAGATGCTCGTTGTAGCTGTGGTTTACAATTACCTTTGAAGTGTTTCACTCTCGGTATTCAAACGGGAGCCCTGGTGGTGCAGTGGTTAAGAGCTTGGCTGCTAGCCAAAAAAGCTGGTAGTTCAAATCCCCCAGCCGCTCCTTGGAAACTATGGGGCAGTTCTACTCTGTCCTATAGGGTCGCTATAAGTCGGATCGACTCGATAGCAACGGGCTGGTATTCAAACAAGAAAAACAATATCTATGCGGACGTAAAGTTAGGAGCTGAACATTCTTGGGCAGTACTGTTCTTTACTCTGGAGTATATCATTTAACAGTTTTGTTGTTAAATCCTCTCTTTTATGAATTCATGGCGCTGGTAGCTATCTTCTATAAGGGCGTGCTTACTCAATCCGGCATCCTTACATAGTTCTTCGCCCTCCCAGCACTCCTTCCCTTACATTAGGGAAAAAAAAAAAAAAACCAAAAAAATTACTGATCTCTAAAATTCAAAGTGTGCGCTCCACAGCAGAAATCCACAAGGATAGAACGCCCCACAGAGGTCACGAGGTTACGCCTCCGGATTCCTTGGAAGGGGGCGGGGTCAAAATTTCGATCCGATCAAGTCGGCGCCCTTCCCAACTCTCGCGAGACTTCAAGCAACTCAGCTTTTGCGCACTACAAGCTACTGGGAGTCGAGGCGCCAAGGGAGGGGGAGGGGAAAAGGGGAGACGGTGCAAACGGCGTGGCCGCCATCTTGTTTGTGCCCCAGCTTTGCCCGCGCTCCGTTCTCCGTGACGCACGCTTCCCCCTCCCCTCCGCCCTGCCCAGGCCTCTGCATTGCCCGACACCGCAGGAGCGCGGAGGCGGCTCCTGTTCTTCCTTGGACCCAGAGTAGACGCATGTGAGTGTGCGGGAGCGTCTGTGGGAGGTAGGGTGTGAGAGGTGAGCGGCGGTGACGGGGGGAGGGGCAGCGCTTCCCGCCTTCAAAGACTTCACTTCCCTCGCGCGACTGCTGCTGTAGTTCGGTCCGGCCTGCCCGCCGCCATGTTGTGTCCTCGCCGGGGCCGCCCCTGTGGCCGCCGCCGTCTCCAAGCTCTTGGGGTCCTTGCGCCTCGTCCGCCCGGCCCGCGGGCTTTCTCCCATTGGCGGAAGGCGAGGGCGGGGGGGCTCTCTCGGATTGGTCGGTGGCGGGGAGGCCGCGGACCTGGCACCTTATTGGTCGCGCTGGCTCCGGAGTAGGAATCAAACGCTGCGGGATGCGCACGTCCCGGGTTTGGGCTGCAAGGATAATGACCCCCTACGCCACAGTCGTGAGGTGGAGTTGGGAGCGAGCCTAGAGGCCTCAAGGGGGAAGGGAAGGTGATGGTCTGGCAAGTACTTTGGGGGTACCCTTGGGATGCCTCAGACTAGGGGTACTGCTAAATCCAGAGGTGCTCTACCTGTAACGTGCAAAGCCCAGGATGGGGGCGTACAAGCCCCTAGGGTGCCAGGCTTGGGAACACAGAAACCCAAGTTACAGGCTGAGGGGATCGTCGAGGTCCAGGGGTGCTAGACTTGGAGTGTGACGGAGTTTGAGAGTGACCCTGAAGTCCAGGGATGCCAGATCTGAGGTTATGGTATAGGAGGAGAGGGCATCAGGACCCTATCGGAACGATGGTATCAGACAGGGATTTTGCTACAGAGTGCAAGCATTGAACCACTGAGGTTCAGTTGGAGCCTTGGAGTCTAAAGTTACCAAACCTGGGATGTGATGTGAGGAGGAGGTAAACAGACCAGGCTGAGAAAGGGGTCCTGTTGGATAGGTATGTCCCGTCTTAGTAACTGAATGCCAAGCCTAGGCTGCACAGCCAGACAGTAGTATCAGATCTGTAGGAGTGAGAAAGTTCACTAGGAAGCATTTCGGGAAACATTTTCGGACTTGGGACGTTTAATATTAAGAGAGCAATTATAGGGCCAGCAGCTAGTTTTAAGATGTTGTACGTGAAATTTTTCTGCTCTAGGAAGGATAAGGGTAGGGACTGAGTTTCCAAAGCTACGCTTTGTAGCAAATATTAGGTATCTGACAATTATTTGTTGAATGGATACTGTTAAGATTCCCTTTTGGAGGAAGGGAGTTTAGCAGAGATCCTGGATCTTGGCTCAATTTATTCCGTTTTATATGTGCCTAAAAATATCGCACTGCACACATATTCACCTTTTTTTTTTTTTAAAGCAGTCCCAAACTAAAACCAGTGCATAGCTTCTTGCATCTTGCCTTAAGTAACAGGACTTGTCAGCATTTTATGGTTCATATTGCAAAAGCTTTTGATCTAATCCAGAGTTAGAGTCAACTAAAGGGGTACATTCCTTTTCCACTGAATAGTAATGACTAGGATTGCCTTACATATGTTAACCGTAAGGCAGAAGGAACATGGAAACACATTTGTGTTAAACCTCTGTGTTTTCATAATTTGTTTTTCATTGTCTATATTAGATGGATCTTTCTAGATTCAGATGGATATAATGCTTCTGTTTTCACACCATTTCAATAAACTCCTGTAGTTTTCAAATTTGGTCAGTTTTGTGTGAATGCGACTAAATTTTTGAGAGAAGGGGAAAGTAGTAGAGGAAGGGAATTGACATTTTTGGGCACATTGAATATTATGCTCTATTAGGCAGGCATTTATCATTCCCATATTGCAGATAAGGAATTGAGGATCAGAAAGGTTAAGTAATTTGTCTTGTCCAGTGTCACTCAGTAAGTGGTTAAGCTGGAATTCAAACCCCAGTTGCTTGATGCCAAAACCTGTAGTTTTATCTGCTATGTCATGCTATCAACATAAACTTGACTAGTCAAATTCCCAGGTAGTTATATATTTCAAAGTCGATCATCTTATTTTGATTTCTGGGTGTTAAAAGTATATTGAATGGGATATTAATAAAAATTTGTTGTAATGTTACAAGCATTCAGACCACAGAATTGTACCCATATAGAGTATGAGATCTTTAACTGGGTGTTTCTGTTGTGAAAGGGAAGGTTTACAAAGTAAGTTGCTAGATTTTTCCTGAATCCAGGTAGATAACAAGGAAAAAGTATGTACAAAAATTTTAAGAATCTGGATTCTTTCAAATCAGGTTTCATAATATTGCTGTATATGGAAGTAATTTATGCCAAGCAGTGGAGAACTACCAAGTGCATAGTGTAAAGAGCTCACTGGGTAGCTTTTCAAACATCACCAGTTCCTTAGGATGTTTGTCTCCAAGGCCCTATGCTTTCTTCAAATTGTGGGAGACTGATTCTCAGATATATTTATTCTGAATGATACATAAAATTAAAACTGGGTGCAACAAAATATTTGTAATTCAAGTGTTGCATGGAGACCTTTAAATAATTCAATTTTCAAGGGGAGACCAGTGAACTAGAAGTCTTAATTGCTTTATGTCTTGATGTGATTGGGTGAGGCCCTTCCCCTCAGTTTTATTTGCAATAATTCTGCAGTGTGAAAGGTAGAGGCTACGGTACAAGTGGAGATAGGGCTTTCCATGCATTTGCTCCACATCACATGGAAAGTACTGCACTTTGTACATTGGCCATCTCAGCCTCAATTTGCCGTCATTAAGTTAATCAAATAGGAAGACTGTTATGGTATCCGTATTTAGCTTCTTTTTTAATAAATCTAGACAAGGTTACAAAAACAAATGTGTATGTTTTGTTGTTAGTTGCTGGCAAGTTTATTCTAACTAATGCAGACCCCATGTGTTACAGTGTGGAGCTGCTCCATAGGATTTTCTTGGCTATACTTAATGGAAACAGATCTCCAGGCTTTTTCTTCCACATTACCCCTGGGTGGGTTCGAACTATACGTATATATATGTACTTGTGTGTGTGTGTATATATATATATATATATATATATATATGTTAGTTATTCAGCAAGCATTTCTTGAGCAACTGTTCTTCAACATCAATGACCACCTTTGTTCCACATTAGCGGCTTACACCCATGGCCGCTTGCTAGACCTTGTTATACAGAATTGACCACCTCAGAAATCTTGAACTCGCAGGAGGTCTGAGTAGGTCTGAGTTTATATCAAAAACTTGTGAACTTCAGTATTGTCTTCTAAGCAGAAATCATGCTAATGTTTTATACTTTATAGACTGTGCGTGTAATTTTATTTAATCCTTCTAACAGATAATTCTATTATCTCATTTACGCTTACACATTTTTCATTTGGTCAAAACGAATTCATTATATTAGAGAAGATACAGGTTTTCTTATCCCCATTTTATCTGCAGAGAAATAGGGGCAAAGCAAAATGATTGTCCTTTTGAGGCAGTTTTGAATTTCACGTGTCTTTTTGTTCCGAGGTACTAAGCCACTAAGGATCTAGAAATCAAACTTGGGAATAATATCATGGTTACTACCTTTTGAGTGCTTTATTGTGCCAGCTAGGGTAAAATTCACTGTATGTATTATCCTCACAACGGTATGAGGTCCATAACTAATTACTATGCTCATTTTACATGTGAGGAGGCTAAGGCACAGAGAGGTTAAGTAATTTGCTCAAGGCCACATAACCAGTAAGTGACAGAGCCAGGATTCACACACAGTTCTGTAACTCTTAATTCCTATACAGTTTGTGGAGTCCTTAATCTTAAACTTTATGTTCTCTTGACCCCATAGAATATTATGGGAAAAGAAAAATCCTTAGATTTCTTCAGGCCTGTCCTTTGTATTGAGGCTCTGAAGAGTGAGATATGACTGTGACAAGGTCATTTAACTATTCAAGGGCAGAGCCAAGTCTAGCTCAGATCACTGGATTTCCAGACCAGGACTCATTCTGCCAGACAGCATTGCCTCTCCTGTGGAAGCATTGACGTGATAGAAAAGACGACTCTACGGCACCGCCTGTGTTTTGACAAGTTTAGCTGATACACAGGAGGGAGGATGTCACAGGACATTATTAGGCTCACAAATGACCTCCTTGATGTTCATTCCGGCCTTAGGCATACAATCTAGGAAGAACATTCCTTAGCCAGCAAGTTCTTTTCCATTCTATTTCTTGTGCTCAAAGCAAACTGGTTGTGAGTTATCTGATGTCTCTCTTTTCATTTTGTTTGTTCAGTTTTTCATGCATGTACTATGACAAGCTAGGAAGGCTACAAGGTCATTTCAGTATTTTCCCTCAGAAACTCAAAGCATGTAACATAATTTAAGTAGATTAATATGCAGGAAGAAATGGATTTAAAATACTTCAGCCAAAAAGTACCTTTGTGGGAGGGGGTAGTATAGTCCTAATTTTGGAGTCAGACCTAGGAAAGAATTCTCTCTGCAGCACACCCTCTGTATGAGCTGGGGAGCAGGTTTATAACCTTGCTGAGCCTTGGTTTCTTACTCTGTAAAGTAGCGGTAATAATATCTACCTAATAGAGTAATTATGAGAGTTGAATACGATAGCATATGTTAGGTGCCTATCACTGAGTAGACCTCATTAAGTGAGAAAATAGATCACTTTTCTTTTAGAACGGCATAAAATGTGTCCTGACAGTTAGATCAGAAGGCCTTTTGTAATTATCTGCTCTGTTATGCACAGTAAGATTTCCACAGGGGGAGCAATCACTTGACATGAAAGAAATAACCTAATTTAGTTGTGCTGTTGTGGTTTAGGAGCCGATTTTCAGTGGACCACTGTGAGGTCAGCATTAGTTTTGAATGTACAAAGTAGTAGGATCATTTGTTTCAGGGAAAGGTTTGTCTCCTCATCTACTGTTAATCTCCAGATGCTGAGTGCTAATGATTGGTGAGATTAAAACTTTTTCATATTTTTCATATAGCAAATCCAGAGCAACCAGTTTTGTGCTTATGTCCAGAAGGAGAGATTTGCATTATAGGTTTTAAAAATTTTCTGATTGTGGAAATTATCAGTTGAAGTAGGACTGTCAGTACGGTCTATGTGATTTGTAGCCACCTGGGTAGCATTTTCTTTGAGTAATCAGGAAGACAGTATTGTGGAATGGTTCAGAAAAAAATCTCTCTGCCTGCAGAAATTTTTGCTGGGTTGCACAATTTGCTCTACCCTCCCCATACTTCTGTATGTTTTAGCCGTGATGTACCTGATAGCAACGAGGTGATGCCTATACTCATTTTTGATGTGGGGGTTGTATTTTCCTTTTTTGATTAAGTTCTTACTTGTCTGCAGGCAGATTACTTCTAAATCCAGCATACTTTCTTTTATGCAGTGAGAGTTTTCTAATGGATAAACTTCAGGTGCAGTTTAGAGAGATGGGCTAGAGTCCAGTCGTTACATTTGAATGTTTCCAGTAGAGTAGGTTTAA